GTATAAACAGATGTGTATGTGTGAGTGTGTGTATAAACAGATGTGTATGTGTAGTGTGTTTATGAACAGATGTGTATGTGTAGTGTGTGTTTATGAACAGATGTGCATGTGTAGGGTGTGTTTATGAACAGATGTGTATGTGTGAGTGTGTGTATAAACAGATGTGTATGTGTAGTGTGTTTATGAACATATGTGTATGTGTAGTGTGTGTTTATGAACACATGTGTATATGTAGAGTGTGTTTATGAACAGATGTGTATGTGTAGTCTGTTTATGAACATATGTGTATGTGTAGTGTGTGTTCATAAACAGATGTGCATGTGTAGGGTGTGTTTATGAACATATGTGTATGTGTAGTGTGTGTTTATGAACAGATGTGTATATGTAGAGTGTGTGCATGATCAGATGTCGAGTGTATGTATGTGTTGACAGATTGGGCTTAGAGCATATGTCCGTGTGTGTGGTGCGTGTATGTACTGTTGTGCTCCATGGTGCATAGTACCGTACGTTCACTTCAATATTACATAAAGAATAACCCAACCCTACAATCACCCTAAACCCAAGTGGCAGGCAGTCTACATACACATCCATCTATCCGTGTAGGGTTTATAGTACCGAACTCCGTGTGATGATTGCCCCCCCTTTCACGGCATATGCGATACACAGTCCCAGCAACCCCCAAACTACCGATTCTAGGGTTTCCACCCCCTAAAACCCTACAACTCTGAAACTCTAAACCCTACGAGATAACGACGGCAGGCCCTTGTGTACGTTGTTGCTTTGTAGTGTGTACATACACCGTCCGTCTCTCTCTGTGTGTGCGTGATGGTACGAATGCGGGTATCCGCTTCACCGTGTTCGTGAGCAATGTGTCTCTCTGTGTGTGGATATGTGTGGATGTGTGTGTGTGTGTGTACATACGTATATATATATATATATATATATATATATATATATATACATATATATATATATATATATATATATATATATATATATATAAGTATTTATATATTCGACACGCGAATAGGCATTTGTAGATATATATCAATATCAGTACACATATGTTGGTATGTATGTGATATTAGTCTTTTACAAGCACTCACGGGTGTATATACTAGGATGAGCCTCGTCTAATCTGTTTATTCCCACCAACTTATTCACGTATTTCTTACCCAAATTATCCTTTCTCAATTGCATCTTACCAATTTTCGTTTCCTAGTTAATTCATACCCAAACTATCCTTTCCCAATTAGTCATACCCAAAATATTGTTTCCCGATGTACCCATTCCCAAATTATCGATTCCAAATTAATTCAGACCCATTTTCGGTTTCTTCTGCCAATTGTCCCCTTGCACTGCCAATCAGATCAAGGTACAGGATGGATGGCAGGGTGACCCTGCCAACGCTCCCTTCGACTGCATCCACGTGGGAGCTGCTGCCTCGTCCTTGCCGCAGGTAAGTTCTCTGAGTGTGTAGGTGTACGTATGATAGTGTATGTGTATGTGTAAGTATATATGTAAGTATATATGTATGTATGTGTGTGTATGTGTATGTGTATGTATGTATGTATGTATATATGTGTGTGTTTGTGTGTATGTGTATGTATATATGTAAGTATATATGTATGTATGTGTGTGTGTATGTATATATGTATATATGTAAGTATGTATGTATGTATGTATGTATGTGTGTGTGTGTGTGTGTGTGGGTGGGTGGGTGGGTGGATGTCCCATATTCGCGTTTGAGGCGCGCTCATTCTTATGCGAATGGGGCTTATCAGTGTGTCTCTGCATGCTCGTATTATATTGGTTTGTTATATGTACAATGTTCGATACAGTTGCCAATTGTTTGCAAAGATTGTTGCAGCCTTCCTAAGGAGAATGAGGAATGTAGAAATAAGTCTTACCTCTAAACCCTATAGCCCTGAAACCCTAAACCCCTAAATTTTAAAATGCGTATGTGTCATAGAGATATGTATGTGGTCGATATGTATGAATTTCAACTTCAATATCAAACAGATAGAATATATCTAAGCTAAATACAAATACAAATTACTTAAGCCCTGCATGTCTAAGTATATATATATAAATGTATATTGTGAAAATGTGAACTTAATTAAACCATACATGTCACAAGTATATATCTATATTGGGAAACTGCGAAAGGCTCATGGAGTCAGTTATAGTTTATTTATAGGTACAGCACACCTAAAATAGCTATACTAAACGTTTCATTATAGATATAGCACACTCAACACAGCTATACTAAACGTTCATTTATAATTAGAGAGCACACCTAACATGGATATATCAAACGTTTATTGATAGATAGAGCACACCTAACATGGGTATATTAAATCTCTCACTTTTCCCATTGTGCTTGCAAACCCCTAAACTCTAAAAACCTCTAGCATACATATATATTATACGTTTATTTACAGATAGAGCACACCTAACATAGGTATACTAAATGTTTATGTATAGCTATAGCTCAACTAGCATAGGAATATTAAACGTTTATGTATAGCTATAACTCATCAAATGTAAGAATATTAAACGGTTAATTATAGATGTAGCCCGCCTAACAGAAGTATATTAAACGTTTATGTATAGCTATAGCTCATCTAGCATAGGAATATTAAACGGTTATTTATAACTATAGCTCATCTAACATTGGAATATCAAACGGTTATTTATTGATGTAGCCCATCTAACATAGGAATATTAAACGTTTATGTATAGCTATAGCTCATCTAACAGAGGTATACTAAACGTCACACCCTTTGCCATTGCTTGTTTACAGAATCTGGTCAACCAACTGCGTCCTGGGGGAATGATGGTCATACCAATTGGACCGCCACACGGCAGGTATCAGAAACACAAGGAAGAGGACGTGTGAGTGCGTGTGTGTGTATGTATTAAAAGCACAAGGAAGGAGGGCGTATGAATATGTGTGTGTGTATGTATTAAAAGCACAAGGAAGGAGGGCGTGGGAATATGTGTGTATGTATCCGAAGCACAAGGTTGCGTGGATGTGTGTGCATGTCTGTGTCTACCATTGTGTAGTGGCATGCGTATGTATGCATATACTGTAGTGTTGTAGATATAAGTGTCTTTATGTATATATTATACCATAGTGTTAGAGGGGTGTGTGTGTGTGTGTGATGGTGTACAAGGTAGTGCGTCTGTGTCTGCTTGTGTGTTGCCAGGAGTGTTTGCAAATGTGCCTAACCATAGCGTCTGGGCAGCCTCATCGATCTTACGAGCTCTAATCGACATATGCTTGATACATATTCATTCATATGTAATCTTATAACATTCAGATACTTCTTATGGGCCACTTTTCTGTTTGGCCTGTGTGTACTAGATCGTGTTTTGTTTGAGTACATATGCACGAGATATCATGACGGCTGTCTCGTTTGCTGTGAGTGTGATAAGGATGTATGTAGTAGGTAGCAGCTCCCTTTGGTCTGTGTGTAGTGGGTAATTCTCCTTGTACATCTCAATAGAACATCTGCCACCTGTTTCTTCTGCACAGCCAAGAGTTTGTGAAGATAACCAAAGACGTCGACGGGCGAGTAACGCGGGAGAGTCTGTTTGGTGTGCGTTATGTGCCTCTGGTGCGGATGTGATTGCTCTGAGTACCGAACTTCGGCTGCATGGGTGACTGGGGTTTACTTGAATGTCAACATACCGTACGTGTGGCAATGCTAGGGTGGGTGGGGGGGACAGGAGATTCATGCAATACATATAGTACGGTGGTCTGTAAGGGTTAGTCGCTACTTCTGGTCGACTGATTACTGTATGAATGATCGGTGGTGGCTGCGGTGTCGGATATGTACATATGTATGAATATGTGTATGTACGTATGTATGCATATGTATATATACATATGTATGCATATGTATATGTACATATGTATGTATATGTATATGTATATGTATATGCACATATGTGTATGTATATGTCACAGGTACATCGTTGCCCCTACTATCTCGCCCTTGATGGTTGGATGGTCCTTAGCGTATCTCCATTCATCGCTGAGGCGTTGAGTGTCCGAAATCACACGTTGCGGTCCTCTTTGACTCAGAAATGCGGCCGATCGGCCTCTCCATTGCCCCACTCGCGCACTAGTCGCTGGCCTGGATCCTGGTAGTATACTTATATACCGCAAATACTATATCAATCTACAAACCTGTCCAATAAAACTGGCCAGGGTCGATACAATGCATTGCGCCCAGAATATGGGTAAGAATCTCCAATACAACGTACCGAACTTTATGAGGCCAAACTCAAAGGAAGTTGATACGTATTCGCAGACGTTAAGATCTTTCCCATGGTGGAATGTGTTGGTAAACGGTTTCAAAACGTATACTGAGGGGATGAAATAGCCTCCTTCAAACGGATCAGTGCATGTGTACGCAAACACATGCGTCTGTACATATGTGAGGAGACCGAGACAACTTTCTCTCATGGAGGCTTGCTGGTTTGGAGTGTATGTCTTCAAACACACACACAGATATACACACCTTAACATTAAAGTGGGTGTACGTGAACAGTCCCTACCACTCAAATTTGCTATGCAGAACAAGCCCGTGCGCGTTGTGTGACCTAAATCTCATGTACTCAGCTGCGTGTTTTCGACCAATGCGATGTTCTGTTTGACTGCATCGCTGAGTTTTGATTGGCCCCCTCTTATAAACCTCTCACGCTGCGATTCTTGTAATGATTTTAATTCACATATCAATATTGAACAGACTATTCTTGCTATGATTTTAATTCACATATAATTATTAAAGAGACTATTCTTGCTATGATTTATTGTAATTCACATTTGGCTTAACTTATAAGCCACACTTGACGTCTTTTTAAACTATCGTTAAATCGCATCTAATCCATCTTCCAACTAACTACCTTTACATCGTATGTCATCACGAGATATGCACTGTCGAGATACTTCGTCGGACTTACTGTGCCCAGAGCACCACCTCAATACTTACCCACAGGGACACTTGTATCAAAGGGGATGCCTCTGCTCAAACGGTAAACATACAAGAGCAATGAGTGGCGGACAGGTGGAGATGGCAAGACGTGCTTATGTATGCATGCATGTATGTATGTATGTATGTATGTATGTATGTATATATATATATATATATATATGTATGTATGTATGTGTATGAATGTATATATATATATATATATATATATATATATATATATATATATATATATATATGTATGTATATAATATACAATATTTAATATATATTTATATATATATATCTACCCATGCTATATGAATACGGATGGGTATAAATCTAAACCTAACAAAATACACATGCCACACGCACTCGACGTATGCAACATACAAATATGATGTCAGACACATCAATGCTACAGACCTACACACACAGAAATAACCACACACGCACGAATACTCCAGTACTAATAGACGTGCACGCACACATACACTTGTTGATATTTATCCCTCACTCTCCCACGCGCGTGTACAATAACGGACACATGGCTAACTGGCCCAAACTGTGGGTCCTGAGTCCTATTTTTTTGGATGCAGGTGTACCTGTTGATCTTGTGGGGAATGGTCTTGGGTACCATGGTGATGCAGTCGATGATGGGACACACAGACGCACACAGCGTGCACCCGGTACAGTCATCCGACACCTTCGGCAGATGGGTCTTAGCGTCAAAGCGAATGGCCTGCGTATGACAGAGGAGTGTGTGTGAGATATATATATATAATGTAAAATATGATATATTATATTATATTATATTACAATATATACATATATATATATGATAAATGATTTAGTATATAAATATACAATACATATCTATAAAATCTATATATATATACATATATATATATGTATATGTGTATGTATATGTATATGTATATGTATATGCATATATATACTCATAGGGTTGCCCACTGACCTGGTAGCCGCTGTCGTTGCATGTCATGTAGCACTTGCCACAGTTGATGCACATGTCTTCGTCCACGAGTGCCACCACTTGCTTCTTGTTGGACAGTTGATTGTACGTGCCTATCTTTGGCAGCGAGCGCCCGATCATCTGCGTGTGCATAGATACAACCCCCGGTGTGAAGTTATTAGTATCAAGAACAAGGGTATTATTAGTATCAAGAACAAGGGTGTGTGTGTGTGTTATGTATGGTGTATAGTGTGCGACCAGTATGAAAATCAAGCGTATATATATTTATATATGTATATGTATATGTATATGTTTGTTTATCTGTATATGTATATAAATATGTATAAATGTTATCCACAGAGGGGGTCGAGGGCCATGATAAGGTAGAGGACAACAAATCAGATTCAAAGGCTGAGGGCAGGTGTGTACGGCCTCAGCTTGTGATTGGTCATCCTCTGCCTTGTCACGGCTCTCCCTCGGGTATAAGACGATGTAGAGACAACAACATTTAGGGTTCAGAGTTTAGGGTCAAAGTTCACACTGCGGTTGCAGTCTTTATAGTTCGAACTAATGACTAATGCCAAGTGACATCGAAATGGCTTTGCTGAGTGTACCCCAATCTTCGATGGGATGTAGGTGCATGCAAACAAACTGGGAAAACAAAGGAGAGAGAGAGCGACATACAGGTATGATCAAATACATGCATACATGTATCCACGAATATATACATACATGTATGATTATATATAACTATATATATAAATATTTGCATATATATATATATATGCATATATATATATATATATGCATATATGTGTATAGAATATATATAAATATATGTATATGTATATATATACATATATATATATATATCTATGACCAGCTATATGCGAGACACACATACGCATACAACCCAGCCTAAACCTCTCTCACCACAACTTACATCCTGAACCGTAGGCACCTCTGCCCTGGGTTTTGGGGCCGGTCTGAAACTCGGGGCAGGTAGAGGGGGGCCCTCTGCCTCATGCGCTTGCTTGTCCTTGACCTTCTGCTGCGCAATGATGTCCTTGCGTTCCTCCAAGAACTTTCCGAATGAAGGCAATGCGTTTCCGTTCTTCCCGCGCACGTGGTTGTCTTTGCCCTTCTGGTGCTTTGGGGTGGGCCGTGTTTGGCCGTCCCTGTGGGGGTTTACGTGTGTGTCGTTGATGTTATTGACGTGTGCTCGTGTGTACGACGTATGTACGTTAATGAATACGTCTGTATGGACGTATTGAAGACGTATTTACGTATATGTGATTGGTGCAAAAACGTCTGTTGGTACGTATGTAAGACGTATTTAGGTATATGTGATTGATGTACAAACGTTTGTATGTTCGTATGTAAGACGTATTTACGTATATGTGATTGCATACGTTTGCATGTACGTATACAAAACGTATTTCCGTACGTATATATCTATATGCACAGGCGTATCCGGGTGTAATCATAGTTTGTATCTGGCCTACGAGTTCCGCTGAGCGCTCTGACCAGTGACACCGCATTGTCTTGGGTTGAGTGTTTAGGGTTTCGTTCGGGAAGACTGCTTTTAGGGTTTAGGGTTTAGGGTTGGCGAAAACAGATTTCAAGCGACATTACGGACTTTCCGCTTCCCGTGGCCGCATGCGACGCAACTTGTACAGAATCGTCTGCTGGTGTACCGCGCACGAAACTTTTTTTTCCGATTTTTGTCGGTGTATTATATATCGCACGTAAGCAGGAGCCCCTCGGGAGCACCGGCCAAGTTTACGCGCAGTGTAAGTGCTGCTAAGTGACAGTCTGCAAACGCTTGTGCACACGCATATACACACGACATACAGATACATACACCTGTGCGTGTGTGCCGCTACCTACCAATCCTTTAGATCCTCGCGTGTCTCCAAGTACAGAAGTGCCTTGAGGCCAGTGATGTAGTCCTGCACAACGGTGAAGTCTTGGTTTTGTACCGAACTGCAAATCTGCATCACACTCGCACCACATTTAAAGAATTGCAACGCCACATCCGCACTATCGCATCCACCTGTGTGTCCGTGCAACAGACTATTAATATATATATTTATAAATATATATATATATATATACACACACACACACACACATATATATATATATATAATATAATATATATATATATGTAGAG